CTCGCCCTGGAGATCCCACGTCTGTCCAGGCACATGGTCACCTCACAATGAAAGCCAAAAACATTGGAAGCTGAAAAAGCTGTTGGTGACCATGTGTTTGGGAAGACGTGGAATCTCCGTGAATTGCTTGGTCTTTCGGGGTTTACTAGATTGAGGCGCCTACGACGGCAAGAGGGAGCACGCCTTCAAAGACAAAGGTGCTTGTTCTTCCAGGGTATACTACTTTTTTTATCGAAAGTCGGACCATTGATATAAATCCCGTTTTCCATTTTCTTCAACTGGTGTACAAAATTCACTAGCAAAGACAGATGTGAAAACGGAGATTGAAAGTCAAACAAGGGATGGCGATTTCGTTCAACTCATAGGCCTATCCCTTCTAACAAACAATGACGAAAAGATCCCGTACCTCCTCTGCAAAGACCCCCAGACTCCTCAGCCCAGTTCCGCCGCTCATCTTCAGTCGTCCACTTACGAGAGTCAGACTGCGGAGGAAGCGGTGAACGTAGTACTGGGGTTTAAGTAGTACCTCATATACTGGAGGGCTTAAAAGTTCAAAGCAAACGGGACAATCCAGAACTTCTGGCTCGGTTATGGTCACTGAAACTTATTACTGAACGTAGCACGGGGTAAAGTAGTAGTTGAGTCGATGTAAAATAGTTGAGTCGATGTAAAATTGCGACATGCGTACGTCGCATAGCAGTTGCCTAATTGGTGCATAATTTATATTATAAAAAATTATTCGATGTAAAGTAGTTGGGTCGATATAAAATTGCGACATACACATGTCGCATATTATTCGCAGAATTGGTGCATAATTAATTATAATATTTATTTTTGGAAATTTCTTTGTTTGTAAATTAAATATAAATTGAAGAATACTATTAGATGAATGAACCTGCGATTATTACTTCGAAACAATTCCGCATAAAAACCTCGTAACACTCGTACTATAACGAATAAAATTTAATTTTTTATGTTTTTGTAAATTTTCTATTCGGCGACATACGAAATTGTGACATACGAACGTCGCATATTAGTCTCCGAGTTGGTAAATAATTAATTTTATAAAACTAATTTTTGAAAAGTTTTTGGTCTGTGACTAAATTACTAATAAATTGAAGACTACTACTATTAGGTCAATGAACCTGCGATTATAACTCGAAACAATTCCGCATAAAAATTGCATAACACTATTACAATAACGACTAACATTATATTTTTTTATGTTTGTTTTTGTAAATTTTCTATTCTGCGACGTACAAAATTGCGACATACAAACGTCGTATATTTTTGGAGAGTTGGTAAATAATAATTTTTGGAAAATTCTTGTTCTTTGACTAAATTAATAAATTAAAAAACTATTAGGTGAAAAAAAGCGATGCGTAACACTATTCAAAATGTGTTCGCATATTGATACATTTATGCGAGTTTTATATGGATATGCGATTCATAACTATGCGAAAACATTACGCATAAGCGATAGTTATCTAAGCCTTATAGACTTGGATATGATCGTAAATTATGCGAACATATGCCGCATAGTCGCATACTCATAAATGATGCAGTTTGGATATGCGATAATCTAATTACTGGTCAATTTTTCACATATCCTAAACGATGATGCGGTTGATCTGGCCTGGATATGCGATTAAAAAATATAAATTACTTTTATTTATTTTTTTCATTACGTTATGCGAAAACAATGCGATTATCGCACTTTGTTCACAGTTCTGCGAATTTCCTTTCAATAATATTTTCCCTTCAAATATTGTCGCTGATTTTGCTGGGAAAACTCTGTTCACGGACATTAATAGTTTAATTGTCCATGCAACATATTGTTTTGTGTTGACATATGAATCATGAATTAACAAACACGTACTTGACAGAAGAAAAAAATTTTATTATTACTGCAGTCAGTCCAACAAAATAAGCCAAACAACTTTTGATTACATGTCCAGTGGATCTAAGGGTCGAGATCGATGACTTCCGAGTCTATCGCTGCTGCGTTGCGCTCGGTAAAAACTTTGTAACACTTACCATACCAAGGGAATCTTTCCGAATGGAAAAATGCCTGAGCGTCGGTCTCCTGTGTAATAAATTTAAATCGTTTTAGGTTATTATGGCCGCGTCACAAAAACGCATGCTTGAACACAAGAGGACGCCTGGAATCATCAGGAAAACAGTAAAGTCATCGAAATAATTTCTGAGTCGTTGAATCTTTCGCCGAACTTGAGAAATAGTAAACTCCCTCTTAAATGCATAACTCAGGCATTGGTTCAGGACTATTGAAATTTCTGTCCACAAGGAATTAAACACATGACCTTTGTATATGTCTGCCTTGTGACAACACCATTTGAAAAACACTTGGTAGCAAATACGTTCCTCCTCCTCTGCCCAGTCCATGCCACGGAAGCGGATCGCGATCTTTTCATAGGGTGAAATCCTTTCTATTTTTTTTTCGCAAATGTGCGCCTCCTTGGCTTTTTTTTTTTTT